GGCTGAAACAAAGGGGCACGAGGATCATTAGCAGATCGATCTCAATTTAATCTCGAAATCATTCAGCTAAATCGAAGACGGCTCGCTCCGAATAAAATGGTATCAAGGGCAACAAGGTTAAAAAACATTATCTTCAATTAGCATTGGTGCATTAACGCGTTAGATTAATTTAGAACAATTAAGGTCAACACCTCAGAGTGAAGTCTAGATCTAAGACATAATTATTATTCAAATTAAAAACTTACATAAAAACAATGAAAATATGAGCAGTAAATCTGTAGGCATATGTAATGATCTATATAAAAATATAAGCAAACACTTATCAGAGGAAATATAAAAAATGCTAAATAAATTCATTCGATCTATATCTATATCTAAATATTTAATCTACATTTATTATTATTACTTATTTTGTATTGAATAAAATGTTTCGATTGATTCCAGTGCTAATAATATAAATATATAAAAAAATACTAGATGACAGTGAAAATTCAAACTATGGCATGGGGTTTCATTCTGGCTTTGCGTTCAGCTTCCTATCATTTATATCAGTTAAACAACTGGAACTCAAGTGTAAAGTAAATAAATCATCAGTAGTGCTAAGAAATAAATATTGTTAAGAATTTTCTCTATATTTCGTAATTAATTTTAGTAAAATTACATGTAAATTGTATTATCGCTTGTATAATGTAATATGAAAAGTCTCAATAGACGAAGCACTGCCGGAAAAACAGGAATACATGGGTAAAACAGTTTAACAATGAGGTAAATGGCTACGCCAAGCTCCCGATAGTTTTGGCGACTAACTTTTGTTGCCAGACTTTCAAACAATGCTTGAAACGTGGTCAAACTTGGCGACCATTTTGCGAAATTTTGATTCGATCTTTATGCAACTGTAACTGGTCCGATCCCTATGTAACTGCAACTGTATCCGGCCCTATGTATCTATAACTGCATCGCCTTCCAGCAATTTCAAGAAACCGATGTTATTGGAAATTTCTCAACGGACGAGGGAAATTTATGTAACACCGAAGAAAGCATCATCTCTCAGTTTAGTTCAGAGTTGAATTCAAAGTTTAACTCAGATTGTTGACAGTGGCGTAGCGACGGGGGGGGCAAGGGGGTAAGAACTTGGAAGAGCACCGCCCTCCTGACAAAGCTGTCTCATGGCATAATGGCTACTCTTCCTTCAAACCACAAACGATGGCCTCCAGCAGCCCGACCGTGCTCGCAAAGATAGAAATAAACGGTTTTTAGAACCTTTAAAAAGATTCACGCCGAGAAGCTGAGAGGGTCCGAGCAACTGAAAAATGTTAGTATAAAAACTAAAACAAACAAACAAAAAGTAAAAGATAATAATGGTCACAAAGCTGATAAGCAATTAAACCAAGCAAAGGAGAAGAAAGAAGAAGGTAAGAGAAAGAAAAGAAAACTGTAAGACTGGATTAGAGTAAAATAAAAGAAAAGAGAGCAAAGAGCAAAAAGGAGAAAGGTATCAATTATTCAACCAGACAGACAAACATACATTTACACAGAACTATAAACACACATTCAAACACAATCAAAACAAAACACACATTCAAACACAAAAACACCGGACACATCTGGAAGGGCACAGATCGAATCACTGGTAGGAATTCCCAGTTTTATAAAAAGGAGAGCTGTAACACCGAAAAACTAAACTAACAATACTGTTGGAAGAATCATTCCGATATAATCGCTGAGACGCTAGTTCTCAACGATTTTATATTTATAATATACATAATTATTATTTTCAATTTTAATAAAATTAAATTTTGCATTTATTTAAATCAATTGAAAAAGACCCAACAGAGCTTTTAAAGATTATTGTTTTATAATCTATTTGAAACTTTGAACTTTAATTAAATTTCTGTTGATTACAAAATTAAAATTATCCAACGGATATATAAAAGATATTTAAAGCTGACGAAAAACACTGGTTATATTCCTCCATGAGCTGAACTATTTCATTAATTTAGCATAAATTGTTTAGATCGCAAGTTTTGAATCAGTTACAAGTGTGGTAACCACATATAAATCAGTGTGTAATTCAAAAAGATCAGACACAATGCTTTCTTATGATAATTCATAAACCAATAGTAATTACAAGATTAAGCCATCATTATTATTTCTCTTAAATACAGCATACATGGAGAATAGACTCTTCATTTTCAATACAGCGATCTCCAGCTGGAACCGAAATACTAATAAACATGTCCTCTCTCGGGAAAAAACATATATACATAAAATCCAAATACAATCTAAACACAATGAATATAAAAACAACATATATGTACAATAAAATGCTAAAATTTCAAAAGCCGACAATCTTTCAGCAGTATCAAGCAGTAAAATCATTAAAAAACACCAATATAATACAATAAAAATCAGCACAAAATTAGAATATCAAGGTAAAATTCACAAAACAAATACAGATATTAAAATTCAGGGAATAAAATCATAGATGTATGAATACTAAATTAAAATTCCACATTTGGCTCTATTGGAGTTAATAAACTTCAGGATGGCCTCAGCAAAAGATTGTAATTTTACAAAGTCAGGGGTGGTATTTGTAGAGATATTAAAACTGTTTCTTAAAGACTGAAATATGACACAGTCAAATATACTCGTATAATGGTTTGCATCGCCAGAGACCCCGCACTTTGAACAAACACTGGCATTTTGTACATTGAAACGAAACAGGTATTCAGGGAAGCGGCCGTGGCAAGATCGGCCATCGGAAAGTCTTCATCTTTTTCTTTATATCGATGTGTCTTAAGAAGCCCTTGTTCCTCTCTGAAGTGTTTCAGTCATTCCTCCAGTTTTCGATGTAAGTCTCCAAGATGATTCTATCGACATGTTTACGAGATACTGAAATTTCAATATAGGGGATATCATCAGATCTGGCAGCGTGTCTGGCAAGCGCATCCGCTCTCTCGTCGCCTTCGAACCCCACATGGGCTTTGATCCAATGTAGACTTAAAGAACTAAAGCATAAAATATTTTTATATAAACATTTTATATTGTATAAAGTAAAATTAGAAACGATGGGATTCTGCAAATTTTGTAAAAGAGATAAACAATCGCTGTATATATCAATGACAGATTTTGGTTGCAGATTATGATGTACATAAGAAAGGGCTTGTTCGAGAGCACAGCTCTCAGCTTGAAAAACAGAATTGTATTTGTTTAACTTGTATAACGAATAATCAATTTCTACACCGTAAAAATACACCACAAATGCGGCTCCAATGCTATTGTCAATTCCAGAGCCGTCTGTACATATTTCATACATATTATTTCTTGGCAATATTTTATCAAAAGTGCACATAACATTATTGGCGGGATGAACAAGCAATCTATTGAATTTATCATAAGCATGCCTGGTAATTAATTCGCTGCCAAAGGTTTTAAAATCAAGATTTCCAGATCTTAAAAGAAATTTGTCGTAATACATTTGATATAAAATTGAGAGAGGCGGAGTGCCCGCCAGAACACATAAAACCTCGGAAGAGACCGTCCTGAAACATCGAGTAATCAGCAGGCACCAGCTCCTCTGAATGGTGTTTAACTTCAATCTGATCCTCTGAAGTTACCCCGCTCTGGAACCCCAGGCACCTATGCCGTACATCACGATGGGAATAATAACGTTTTTTATAAATATCTAAAATAATCTTATATTTACCAGAAAGAACACTGATTGTAAAGTAACGTTTGTAGAATACAAGAATATTGTCAGTTCTTCTTTGAATGATCTTAAAATGCTCAGTTAGACCGGAGTCAAATATAACACCCAAATATTTCAAAGACTGTACGAATTTGATACGAGAGCCATTATATCTTAATTGAGGAGCACGGCATTTACGCCCGCTCTTTGGGGAAAATAAGGCATTCGTTTTTTCCATACAAAAGGTCAAGTGTTCTTCTGTTTTCCATCTGTCAAAATAGGGAGTGATGCGATTAAAAAGAGCCTCCAATTTTTCTAACGAGTCTTCCTTTAGAAGAATTAAAATATCATCGGCATAGGCGACCAATTCCATGTCCTCTTCATGAAAATCAAACTTTAAAAGTTTGTTCATTATAAGGTTCCAGAATAGGGGTGCACTACAAGAGCCCTGCGGGCAACCTTTAAAGATCTGTAAGGTAGCACTGTCACTATTGTCAAAATATTCGTTATATAGGACATACCTGTTGATGAAGTAAGAAATATAACATCGCACAATCTCTGAAGGCAGTTCCAAATCGATCATATAGTGTAGTAAGGAGGACCAACTAATGGAATCAAAGGCCGAAGTAACATCTAGCGATAAAATGACGACGTGTTTGTGCTGTTTGAATCTGGAGATAAAACTTTCTACGCGATGCAAAGCCATGTCGGTGTTACGGCCAGGTACAAATCCAAATTGTCTGTCATGTAAAATCCCTTTGTTTAAAATCCAATATAAAAGTCGATTGCATAAAATTTTATCTAAAATCTTGCCAAGAAAATCTAATAAAACGATTGGTCTTTTTTTGCCATTCGGCTTTGGGATTAAAATCATTTTTCCAGTTTTCCAAAGATCTGGAAATAAACCAATTTTAAAACATTTGTTAAAAAGTAAAAGCATAAAATCAGAGTAAAAGGTATAAAAGATTTTAATAAAAACGGGGTGTATACAATCGGGACTGGCGCGCTCCTGTTGCGCAAGCCACTGCCCAGCACAGTTCTTCCCTCGTGATATCTGGTTCAAAAGATGTGAGGTTCTCCAATCTTCGGTAAATATCGGTAAAATCTTTTTCATGGCCAAGATCAAAGGTATTTTTCCCAGTATTCTTGTTATACTCAACTTTATCAGCATTGTATACTGCCTCATTCTTCTTCATGTTTCTCATACTTCTCTTACTAGTAGCACATTTAAAATATCCGTCGTAATATTCTTCATTGTCCGAAAAGGCGTTCTTCCTAGCATCTAATCTGGCCTTTCGGAGAGTCTTTTTATTTAAAAGGCTAATTCTCTTTTGTAGTCGGTTTTTCTGAAATCTTTTTCATGATCAGGAATGCCCCAGACCTGTGAGCGTTTTCTCATAGCCCTGACTCTTCTGCGGAGTCTGGTGAGTTCAGGGGTCCACCATCTATATTCTTTTCCCCGACTCGGTTTAGATTTCAGTTTAGACTCGACTCCGGTCTTCAATACAATTAAAAGTTCATCAATAATAACATTTATTTCGCATGGAGAGTCGGTATTAATTAATCGACCAGTAAAATTGGATATTTTCCTTCGAAAATTTTCGCAGAATCTCGAAATCCTATAAACATTTTTAGTAATACCAGTCTGATCTTTTTTCCTGGTCTCAAAATCTAGATGAAGTATCAAATATTTATGGTCACTTAAGGACTCTTCCTGAGATATCTCTAAACTTTCTGAAGAACAATTCATTTCGGGAGAACACGAAACGAGGTCTGTCCATCCCGTGCCAATAGTCGACGAAAAGGTGGGAGGAGAATCAGGGGAGTTTATCAGAAGAACGTTGTTAGCTGCCAAAAAATCAAAGACAATAGAGCCCCTCGGGTCTATATTTGGCGCACCCCAACAGGTATGCCTAGCACTGAAGTCTCCAAATATCAAAAAATCTTTAAAATTTTCACATATGTCCTCCAATTTAGCGATATAAGCTGAGATGTCCTCGGCAGGGAAAAAGTAGCAAGAAAAAATAGAAAATATTTTCGACTGGTGTACAGTAATGCCAGTGATAATATCAGTTTGCAGATCAAACGTGCAATCAATTTTTTCGTTGAGGACAATGATGGCGGTTCGACCTCCAGGAAACATAGCGAGTCTCAAAGAATTGTTAATCGAGGCAAGATTACCATTTATTAGATATGGCTCTTGTAGGCATATAATGTCGGGAATCGACCCAGTGATCTCACCAATAACAGGGAGCTGAGCCGCGGCGATAGAACAATGGTTAAGATTGATACTTAAAATCAACATATTTAAAATGACTAGATTTAAAAAGCTCATAAAATGTACTAAAATCAAAGCAATGATGATAATCAAAAAATGTCAAATTTCAATAAAATAGTATAAAATAGAATAAAAATCATAAGATTGGAACCCGAATCCGAAAAATGAGTATATATCAAATACTTAAAACTTGAAATCAAAATTAACATCCAAGTGGTCATTAATGAAATTTATCTCACTGATAAGACACGGGCAGTTTCTATCAGTCACTTTGTGATTACAATCGTACTTCGTGCCATATTAGAGAAGTCACAATTGATGCACTTGAATTCTTATCACATACTTTTCTACTGTGATCACCAGAACAATTGGAACAACAAGTTTCTGTTTTACAAAATTTCTTAGTATGGCCATATGACCAGCAGTTAGTACATTGTTTTGGGCGTAAGAATAGCTTAGCACTATAGGATTTCCAGCCGCTCATGATACGCTGATGGTGTAAGATCTCGTCCTGACAGATTGGACTCACAGAAAAAACTCTATGGGAACAGTTCTCTCTAGTAGGAATTTCAAATAGAAATTTGGCACATTGTTTGTTGCATTCGCAATTCTCGTGAAGTTTAGAAATCAAAGAGTCACTGGATAGTTCTTTATCAACATTATAAACTATAATTTTTGGTTTGACGAATCTTTTTCTTCAAGTAAAGATTTTAGTATTAAGATTCCGTTTTTCCTGAATGGCATCTTCTAATTTAGTGACCTCATCTTTATTCGCTAACTTCAATTTCAACTCTCCATTATCGTGAATCCTGGAGCGCTGGATATGTATGCCCAAGTCCGAAGGATTGATTTCACTAGTAATCTCCTCGAAAACGTCAATATCAGGAGCCATCGGCTTGATAACAATCTCATCGGCGCTCTTTACAAAGTGAACAGAAGAAGTTTCTTTCTTTTCGAGACAATCCAGTTTATCCATAATTGAGTGCTTCAGACTTACAATCTCCTCTTTTATATCCTTGAGTTCATAATTAGAGCTGGACTTAAGTTCCTATTTCAGGATTTGAAGTCTTTGGGCAGTAGAAATTTCTAGGATTTTGCTCAGTCCAAGAGATAGTTTATCTGGAACAGCTGCACCCATCTTCTTTTGCGACTTAATTTTGTCAACAATTTTAAACATTTCTTTAACAATTTCATTAATGTTATTAGTCTCTTCAAGGACTCTATCAAATGAATCTTCATCTCTAACATCACTTTTATCCTGCTTAGCCATTAATTTAATAAATTCGGTGTCGGTTTAAAACATATCAAAATGTCTAGTAAAGACTAAAAAACTTTTCAAAGTTCAAGCTTGAACTTCAACAATTTCAATAAAATTTACAATATATACAATAAAATAAAAGTCCGAGGATAACCTCTAAGCATGTAATTTTTATAAAAAAAATAAAATGCTCACAGGGCCTACAACCTTCACCCGCGAATACACACGGTTTAAAAAGGATTTACAGGGGATTTGCCGCGCACCCGCGAACGGTTTCAACTTAAAATCTATAAAATACTTACACTAAATACATATAAAAACATAAAATCGGATACAAAAGTTAAACTACAAAAAACCCACAAACCCGAGAGAAGACAAGACCATAAATACATGAACATAAAAACTACAATAAAACCAAAGACAAATACAAAATACAAAGAAGACAAGAAAAGAATACAAAATAAAATTGACTCAAGGTCAAGGTCAAATCAAGCTATATACGCTATATAAATTTAAGATCTTAATTGATCACAATTGCTATATACGCTATAAAATACAATATGATTAGCTTGACAAAACTTTTACAATTAGGAATAAAAAGGCATAAGCCATACAACGCTTAATAAAATAATGCCAATAGTTCCCGTTTAGGGCAGAATCATCAATCTATATAAAGCTATTTACAGGGGAAAATAAAGGAAAATAAAGGCAATAAGCGGTACAACGCTTAAAATAAAATATGCCAATACAAAAATGCCAAAAGTTTCCCGCTTAGGGTAATATCATCAAGCTATATACGCTATAAAATTCAAATTCTTATTGATCACATATATAATAAAATCTTTATGGATACAAAGTAAAAGCACAATAAAGTATTACATTAAGGGAAAATGACAAAAAGTCATACAACGCTTAAAAGAAAACATGCCAACGTATCCGTTTAGGGCAGTATCAAAAATTGCCACGTGGGCAATATAAGGACTGTTTCACAGATCGTCCATTGCCAATTATCCAGAAATAATCACCCAATATATATATATATATATATAGAAATGCTCTATCACGCTAAAGTTCTAATTGTTCACTTTGAGTAAAACCAGCAATAGGAAGATTCCAGTGCTCAAATATGACTTCAATGCTGTAATAAATAGAAAACGACCGCTTGCGGTCCTCAGGTACCTTGAATAGTAAATATCCTGGTAACTTTTGTATCCACCCAACTGTCAAATTTAAATATAGTACCTGTTTTCTTTACACTTAATATGCTTCACAAACAATAATCAATCAACAAATGGACTGTATTCCTACACTTTTATTTTATTACACTTGTCAGCGATGCGAAATAATTGATACAAAATAAGCGAGCCATTCTACATGGCTGTCACAAACACAATTCTATCAATCAATTATCTTGTTGCCACACATAAAGTTCAAAACTAAAGGAAGAAAAACAAAAAGAATTTACGCTGTTTGCAACAATAAAATGAAGCAAACGATACTCACATAAACATCCTGGCCCTCGTTGAAATCCCATGGGATTTCAACAGGTGGAGCATTTTGAAACTTCTTAGTCTGTAAAAAGATAACATAAGAAAAATAATACAAAATATTATATGGGAAGCGTTTCATAGTTTTTTTTTTAGTCTGAATAGGAAGAGGACACAATTTCACGACTGGTCGTTTTATGACACCATGACCAGTTTTAATACTAGCAACTCTGACTCTTTGATCTGAGCCCGGATGAACAGCAATTATTCTCCCTTAACCTCCATTTAAGAGGCGGAAGGTTGTCTTCTTTGATGAGGACTAAGTCATTGACTTCTAAATTGTTTTGACTTTTTTGCCATTTAGGTCTTTGTTGAAGCTGAGACAGGTATTCTCGACTCCATCTTTTCCAGAAGTGCTGAAAAATAAACTGTTCTCACATGCCAATCTGTCAATGTGATGTGATTGAAGGAACTATAATTTAGGTCTGGTTCAGGTATGGCAGTTAAAGACGTTCCTATTAGGAAATGACCAGGTGTTAATGCAGTTAAATCATTTGGTATCAGCCGATGTTGGACACAATGGCCTAGAGTTGAGACAAGCCTCAACCTGCGCTATCAAGGTCTGAAATTCCGGATAGGTCAGCACAGTATCACCAACAGTCCTTTTTAGATGTAATTTCATTGACTTTACTTTACTGCCGATTCCCATAGTCCACCTAAAATGGGGAGATGATGGCGGGTTGAATATCCATTTTATATTTCCTCTAAAGACAAAAATTTGTGAATTTCTTGATTTTGCTTACATTGCAAAAAACATTTTCTTGATTTCTTTGTCTGCACCTTTAAAGTTAGTACCGCAGTCACTATAAATTCTCAAATGGTTTCCCTCTTCTTGCAATAAATCGTTTCAATGCACTTAAAAAAATGCCTTTGTTGACAAATCTTCTACCACTTTCAAGATGTACTGCCTTGATTACAAAACACACAAATAAGCATACTTAATATTTAAATGATTTTTGTCCACGTCCTGCACGATGTTTAATCATGAACGGTCCACAAAAATTCTATTCCAGTTCGATGAAATGGTCGCGATTGTGTTACTACTCTAGATTCCCGGTAGATCAGCCATTATTTGACTTGCAGTTTTAGCTCTAAGTTCGCAACACGTGATACAAGATTTACTACTTTTTGGATAGCAGATCTAGCAGCTATGATCCAAAATTGCTGTCTAATTAAAGATAGAAGAAGTTCGCCGGTGCTGCATGCAGATATTTGACATGAAAGTGTCTAATTATGATTTCTGTCAGATTGTGTTTTGAAGGTAATAAGATTGGATGTTTTTTATTTTCTGATAGTTGCGCATTTTTCAGTCTTCCTCCTACACGTAACACTTTGTTGTCATCTGGAATTGGACACAAGCTAAGGAGGTTGCTGTTTGTAGGTAAGTCCTTTTCCAACTCCAAACATTGAATTTCTTTAAAAAAGTGAAATCGCTGTATTATTCGGACAATACAGAAAGTTGCAGCTCGAATTTCATTACTAGATAAAAAAGACGTATTTCTTTCTAGATATGCTACTTTAGAATTCGATATGAATCTTAATATCCAAGCAAATATGCGTTGTAACTTTGGAAATGAAGATATATTTGATATAATAGCAAGTTCCTGTACAGGTTCAGAAACTACAAATGAGACTGTTTTACGTGCATCTGGTAATGCCTCTTCATCTATAAGAATATTTTTTTAGACAAGGCAATCTCACTGCACTTTAACCAAGAAGGACCATTCCCACCACAATTGATGAGATAATAGTTCTGCAGGAAATAACCCACGTGAAGCACAATCATGGATTTTTCCTTTCCATCAACATGACTCCAGTTCTCAGGTGGTAAGATGGATTGTATTCAGAAACTCTATTGGATACGAATACTTGCCATTTTTTAGGATCTGACCTTAGCCATGACAACACGATTTGTGAATCACTCCAAGCTTGCAATAAATCAAAATTTATAACTAATGCAGCTTTTACAGACTGAATCAAGCGTGCCAATAACACTGCTGCACATAATTCCAGTCTTGGAATCGTAATAGATTTTAATGGTGCTACACGAGTTTTAGCTGTTACGAGTTTAACATTAATGTCAGAGTTATTGCAAAGTTTTGATATAAATAACTGCTGCATAACCTCTTTCAGACGCATCACAAAATCCGTGAAGTTCACATCGAAAATAATCAGGTAGCAGAATTTTCCTAGGTATATTTATAGAATTCAAAAGTTTAACT